TAGAATGGCTTCTCACTGTGGTTTAACTTGCACTATGGTATCTAATACCATAGAGACCTCAATAGAACAAAAAGGCTGAAAAAGGGCAAGTCTGTTTTTTGCTTAAGCTGATATATCCATCTTCTTTAGCCCTTGGATAATGGCACTCCTGCTTCTAGGGTCTCTGAACTTGGACAGGTGCTTACATCATTGGTTCCCCCAATTCTCAGGCTTTTGGTCTCTATTAGGATTTACACATTGACTTCCCTGGTTCTCAGGCCCTTTATACTAGGTCTGAGTTATATTACCAGTTTTACCTGCTTACTGGTTTTTCTATTTCTATAGCGTGTGGAAAGCAGATTGTGAAACTCCTTGACACCTAACATTTTATAAGCCAATTCCTTATGATTAATCTCCATATGAAAGAATATGCATCTGTGTATAAATAGGTATTTATACATGTAAATATAGATTTTAAATATACGTATTTAAACACACACAGGCCCTCATTCTGTTTCTCTGAAGAACCATAACTAATACACAGGTAAACTGAATATTTCTGATAGGAAATTTCAATAAAGCAAGAGAATCATCCCAATAGTACTGGGATGAAATAGCTAGAATCATTCTCTAGCACTGTATCCCCTGAAATGTTCCAGTGGGTAGAAAATTTGTTTCTCAACAGAGTGCATTTAAAAACTTTTCCTTGTAAAATCTGTGCAATAAAGGAATAGGGAAACATGGGCCTCCCCTGGTGGTGTAGCGGTTGAGCGCTGGGCTGCGAGGCTGCCCACAGCCTCTGCAGCGCCGGTTCGTTCCCCGGCCACCAGCGAGGGTCCCACCAAAAAAAAAAAAAGGAATAGGGAAACATTGCAAAGTTCTGTTTTCCCATATTTGAACTCTAACCATTAAACAGTAGAAGTTTTTTTTTTGTTCTTTTGTGGATTTTTTTCCCCACTTGTTTTAATTAGTCCTTACTTTGGGTAAAGTATTTTCTTTTTTCTCTTATTATTAAGGTAACATTGGTTTACAACACTGAAACTTTTATCTACTTATTTATTATTTAAATTTTATTTTTATATTCCCCTTATAATTACAACCCCCTTATTTTGACCCCAAGCCCTCCTCTCCCCGCCCCCCCATCCCCCATAGAGTGTCTCTGGTTCATAGTTGTTTGTTGATTTTGATATTTTCCAAAGAGCACCTGCACCCCTATGTTTATAGCAGCACTATTTACAATAGCTAAGCTTTGGAAACAACCCAAATGCCCAAAAATAGATGACTGGATCAAGAAGATGTGATGCATAGACACCGTGGAATATTACTCAGCATTCAAAAAAGATGAACACATGCAATTTGCAGCAACATAGATGGCACTGGAAGGGATCATGCTCAGCGAAATAAGCCAGAAAGAAAAAGAAAAATACTGGATGGTCTCACTCATAGCAGGAATCTAGAAAACCTAAATAAGGGACCAGGAAAAAGAATAACTATAAGAAAGTGAAAATCAAAATCAACAAACAACTATGAACCAGAGACACTTTATGGGTGGTGGGGGGCAGGGAGGGGAGGGATTGGGGTCAAAATAAGGGGATTGCAATTGTATGGGGAATATAAAAATAAAATTCATTTAAAAAAAAAAGAAATGAAATGAAAAAAAAATGATTTATTTTAGGACTTATTTTATGTTATCAAGTTTTTGGCTATTTACTTATCTGATAAGTAAGACACAGTTTTATGATAAAATTTTAGTTTATTTTTTCTTATGAGCGTATTTCCAAATATTTAATAACCATTTTTATTTCTTCAATGAGCCCCGCTGATAACATTTGCTCATTTTTCTACAGGTTTCTTACCTTACCTCTTTACAATCTACAGGTACTCTTTGTTTCTGAGACCTTAGCTCTTTGTCTCTGATAAACGCTGCAAATATTTTCATTTGATTTTTCTTTGCTTATTTATTCTTGCCATACAAAGGTCATTTAAAAATACTTAGGTAGTCCAGTGAGAATGGCACATATTAAAAAAACTAGCAACAACAAATGTTGGCAAGGTTGTGGAGAAAAAGGAACTCTTCTACATTGCTGGTGGGAGTGCAAACTGGTCCAACAAATCTCCACTGTGTGGAGATTTCTTTACCTACTAAACATAGAGCTTCCACATGATCCAGCAATTCCACTCCTAGGTATTTACCCAAATGACACAGAAACATTAATTCCAAAGGGCACCTGCATCCCTATGTTTATAGTGGCATCCCTATGTTTATCCCTATGTAATAGCTAAGCTATGGAAACAACCCAAATGCCCAAAAATAGATGACTGGATCAAGAAGATGTGGTACATACACACAATGGAATATTACTCAGCAATCAAAAAAGATAAATACATGCAGTTTGCAGCAACATGGATGGAGCTAGAAGGGATCATGCTCAGCGAAATAAGTCAGAAAAAGAAAAATACCAAATGGTCTCACTCATAGCAGGAATTTAGAAAACCTAAATAAGGGACCAGGAAATAGACTAATTAATACAAAATCAAAATCAACAAGCAACTATAAACCAGAGACACACTAAAGGGGGGGGAAATGAGGGGTAGGGAGAGGAAGGACTAGGATCAAAATAAGGGGGGATGCAATTATATGGGGAATATAACCAAAATGAAAATGCATACATTGTGCAAAAATGAAAAATGATGTAAGAATTACATAAAATAATTAAAAAAATAATAAATATGACAATTTTTTCCTGATATAGACATGAAACTTAAGGTATCATCCAGAATATAGTAAACTCAATACAAAATATTTATTTTTTTCTCTAAATAAAATGTATACTAAATAAATGTAAAAAAATATAGGTAGTCAAATATATTAATAGCCTTTCCTTCTCTAGATTCTGTGATCTAGATAGTTTTTCTCACTTCCGATTATAATATGTATTTACACATGTTCTTCTATGGTTATCACTTCATTATTTTTTCTTCATCGAGACAATTCTGTTTTACAATACAACATGTGATTTAGAGGAATAGAGTCACACCTCCTCAGATGTATGTTACCACATCACCTATACCATCAAAGTAACCATAGTTCTTACCCTACATCTTTGAGTCCCTTTCTCCTCTATTAACCTCAATGCTGTGGTATGACTTCATTTTTAATATTTAGTTCTTTGAACCCCTCTAATTTAACATGGCACAAGACCAAGACATTGAGTATAAAATCAATTCTCTTTTCAGATGACCACGCAATGTCCCAACAATTAAAAGTTCATTTTGTGTATGCTAAGACACAACATTTTATCATATACAAAATTTTAATAAATAATTCTATTTCTAGACTTTCTATTTGCCTATTAATGAGGCAATATTAACTTATTTGAATTATAATGACTTTATAATGTATTTACCATTAGATGGGATAAGTCCTCCTCATCTTAATATGTTTATTACAGTCTTTTATTGGGGGTTTACTGGATATTCTTGATTACTTATTTTTCATATGGACATTTATATCAACTTACTTAATCCCAGAAGAAAAAAATCCATGAATTTTTTCATGAATCATGCTAAATTTATAAATTAATGGGAAATTCATGTCACTAAGGTTACCTTCCTATATACTTTTTACAATCATATACGCACCCTTCCCCTCATACACAGATATACACACAAATGCCTGAATTTCTCATTATGTGGTCTTTCTTTTGACTTCTCTACATTCTTTCCATTAATCCTTTCTCTCAGCAGCTGAATATGTCTTTTGATATTTAGGAGGATATGTATTGTTCTAGTAGCTGTCTTTCTGGTACTGTCCTAACATACTGATTCTCACTATCATTTATTAGTAAAACTAGTAAGTATTAATAGATCATTAATGATTAACAAAGCATCAGTTACGGAGCAATCGAAAAATTTTCTGAATAAAAGGAAGCATTGGAAACATTTAACAATTTTAGAAGATAATTACCAAGGAGCTATAATTTCTCTCTCTTGTTTTTACAGTAAATTTGTAAGACATTCATTTATAAGTTGTAATAAATCATTTTAAAATTCCATTATTCTCCCTTTTTACACTTAATTACATAAAAATTTTCTTAGAAAAAAATAACTTAATTTCAGGTATCCCTTCAAATGCTACAAGAAACATTCTTGCCTGTATGTGATTTGCATGCACAGCTCATGTAACCATATTCATTATGGTATAGCCACTCTTTCAAATACGTTTTACTGACAATATGGTATGAAACAATTTTCTATATTCAAAGCTTCACTGGTTACTGTCTGCAACCATCATTGTGAAACAAAATTTTGTCATCTTAATGCAATTAAATCATAATTGAGAGCACAACAATTCTAATTTCACAATCTTGTTATGGTGAACATAATTAATAGCATTTGAAGGTCCTTAGGCTTGCATTATGCTTTTCTTATTTCAGTACTCTCACAGGGCACCAGTAAGCCCCAAAGCCTTTGAAATGTGATGGAGATTTCCACTGACCTCAAAGTGCCTTAACACTTGTAATTCATAGGCAAGGTAATTGCTTTAATGCTCTTTGCTAGTACTTCTGCTATCATTTACATACTGTGGCTTCTTCCAGATAGGTTTGTCCTGTGACACCCACTAAATCAGAGAGCCATGATGTCTTGAGAATAAAGACAGGAAGGCAGAAAAATAGTATGTAAGCTAACATGATAGAAGGTGGGGCTTCGCGTACTAGGCACTGAGATCTTGGTTAATGAATTGTTTAGTGATAGTGGCAGAGTGAGTGAAGGAGGAGCAAGATCTTGTACAAGGTCAGAAAATTGCAAACGTCCCATTTCTTTCTTCCTCTCTGACCCCACAAAACAACTGCTAAGTCTCATGAAAATAAGCAATGGTAGTCCAGTCATTTTTTCTTTAATTTCTTAATGCACTTATTAAAAAGGAGGAGTGGAGGAAGCCATCTGATTTTCCCTATTAGTTAAAAAACAAGAGTTGCGTGTCCTATCCCCTCCCTCACCCACAGCAGCCAAGTACGTACCTGCTGCGAGAGGAATTCTGTTGTCTCTGAAATCTTGAATTATCAAAAGAAGGGGCACCAACTGTTCACGCTGTGCGATGGCACAGAGGGGGGCCCAGAAAGCTGTGCGTGGAATCACAGCGTGTGGAATCTTGGCTGTGAGGAGAATGCAGGTGCAGGGCCCTGTCTGTCCTGTGCGCGGGCCTGCACCGCGGAAGGCACCTACACAGTCTGTTCAGGAAGTTATCCAGAAATGGTAGCCGTTCCTCAGGCCTCTGCGTTTGGGGTGGCTGGGGCGCGGGGGTGGGGGTTGTTGGCTACAACCCTGTTGGGGTGACGCCTGTTGTCAAAGCGGCCTCAGGGCAGGGGCAGCCATCGGTGAAACACTCACTGGCAACGAGGCCTGCTGGCTCCTGGGACTACTCGCAAGTAAGAGCGGCCCAGCTTCTTGCTGGGGTCACCGTTAATGCCACCAGCCACTTGTTGAGCATGCTGGCTCGCTTTAAAGTACGTGGACCCCAAGAGCTGGGGCTGAGTCGTCGCGCACTGGCCAAGAATTGCCGCCATTCTCAGGCAGAAAAGGCGCGCAAACTCGCAGACATGTCACTTGCGCATGCGCGTAATGTGTGCGCGCATGCGCGTGCCCCCCACAGGGAGGCTTAGCCCGGTGACGTCAGGCTGACGCCCAACACGTGCGCCTCGCTGCTCCCTTTCCCTTAGTGGCCCCTGGAAACCCACCACCACCCCGCCCTCGATTTCCTTAAGGGGCTGCACTCTCTTGGTAATGGCCAGCGTGTTAGATGGCCTGCCCCGTCATCAGAAGGGCTTGAAGAGTAGCTAGAAAAAAAATTAAAAGTTGCTCACTGAAAAGGACAACTAGGAAAACCCTCAATGGCATTCTTTCATATTATGGTTTAAAAGAGCATTTCCTAAAATACACAGAGAAGAACGTATTAAGTGAGGAATCATGAAGAAAGACGTCTTCGGTGGCCAAATTGATTTGAGAAACTGCATTTTGTGAATTAATAAGAATAAGAAACAGTTATACTGGTCTCTGCCTATTCCCTTTGCTGACACAGAGCTTCCAAAATAAATAGGGGTGCTAGGAGAAACTTTTGTTCTAATAATTTCTGACAGAGATCCTAAAATTTGCAACCTCCTGAGAAGTAGGAGCATCTGACATCAAGTTCCTAAATACGTTGGAATTTCCCTGTACAGAGGAATGTCCTTTGTTTTAAGGAGTCGACTGGGGTGGGACCCTGGATGGCACTGGATACTAGAAAAACCAAACAATAATAAGGCTTAAAACTTTCAGCCCCACACCCTATTCTCTGGAGGGGAACTGGAAGAAGAGTTGATAATTGATCGTACCTATGTGATGATACCTCCATAACAATGACAAGGAATTTTACCGTTGGTGAATACATTCATGTACCAAGAGGGTGACACGCTCCAACTTCACAGATAGAAAAATTCCTGTGCTGGGACCTTTCCAGACCTCTTCATGTGACTGGTCAAATGTATCCTTTACCATATTCTTTATTACTTAATGAACTGGTAAATATTAAGTAAATGATTCACTGAGTAGTAAGCTGTTCTTGCAAATAATCAAATACAAAAAGAGGGTCATAGAAAACTCTAATTTGTAGGCAAGTTGGACAGAAGTTTACAAAACTTAGGGACCTATTACTTCTGATTGGTGTTTAATTAAAGTGGGGGGCAGTTTTGTGGGACTGAGTCCTTAACCTGTGGGGACTACACTAACTCTTGATGGCATCATAACTGAATGAAATTTTGCAGGACACCTGGGGTTGCAGAGAATTACTGGGTATGGGGCAAAAATTCACACATCTGGTATCATAAGTACTATATGTCTGAGTAAAGGAAAAACAAATTTTTTTTTTCTGGAAAACTGATATGCCCCCTTGATAGATTTGTAGATCTAAGCTGAAAAAAAAAAATTAGTGTTGCCAATTAAACCTAATAAGTGGCTTATAATGTATTTAATCACACTACTGATTTTTCCCCTTTGTTACAATTTTACTCTCCCAAGGAACTAATATTATGCAGAACATTTTCTGTAAAATGCCAGTCTCAAGATTTTCCAAATTCACAACTTACTAAAGTTTGTAACTGCATCACATCCCTTTGGAGGTGTGGTAAGTATAAATTGAATCTATAAACCTCTGAAGTTGGTCTTTTGAGTACCTCTAGGAGTATTTTTGTAAATATCAGCTTAATAAACAAACAGCACCATCTGATTTTTCATTACTATCAAGTCTATAAAGTAGATCTTAGCTGCACATATGGTTAATTACCAGTATCATAAAGCTTTATTAAAAAGCATAATATTTACATCAAAGTTAGCATTTGAGTTATACTAGATTTTGGTTATGGTGAAGGCCTAAGATTTAAGAATAAGAATTAGCATGTAGTAGGAAAATTAAAAGTATTTTCTCTTCAAATATCTCAGAAAATTCTTTCAACAACTCAGGAAAGAAATAGGATGGTGATATGATCCCACCTTTTAAAAATTTTTATTTATTTATTTTTTAAGATTTATTTATTTATGCATACAAGAAATGGGGTACAGGCCAGAGATGTAGGGGGTGAGAAGATTCACCAGAGACAGAGCAGGGAACGGAACAGGCAGACTGACTGAAATACACTGCTGAGGGGAACAGCAGACTAGACAGGAGATGTTTGCCTCGCTCGCCATGTGGATTGCTCCCTGGCCGGCCGGGGATCGAACTGCTGCTGCAGAGATGAGGATTGCTTCATAGTGTAGTGCTTAACCCCTTGCGCCACCAGGGAGGTCCCCCTTTTAAAAATTTTATATCCAACTCTTTTTTTTTTAAAGATTTATTCATTTATTTATATAAGCACTGGTACAGTCAGAAGCGCCGGAGGGTGAGAGAATTCACCAGAGCCAGAGCAGGGAACAGAACAGGCAGACCGACGAAATACACTGCTGAGGGGAGCAGCGGGCGGCAGGAGAGGGTTGCGTGCCATGTGGGACCCTCGCTGGTGCCCTCGAACCGAAGGGGCACTGCAGAGGCTGAGGGTGCAGCTTCGCAATCCAGCGCTCAACCGCTGCGCCACCGGGGAGGCCCTCCAACTCTTTTTTTTATGCTAAGGCCCTTATGTGTTATTTACATTTGTTCTTGTGTGTAACAGCATAATTATAATTCTATGTGTAAAATACTTTTGTGCTTCAGGGATCAGAGAGAGATCTCATTGTTTTCATCAGGCATGCCACTAACTTTTCATGATGTTTTCAATAGCAATACCAAGTATTTTGATGAGGGCCTCCCTGCTGGCGCAGCGGGTTGAGCACAGCGCTGTGAAGCTGTCCACAGCCTCTGCAGCTTGGGTTCGATTCCCAGCCGGCCAGGGAGTTTCCCACACGGTGTGGCAGACCTTTCTGTCACGGTTGCTGCTTCCCTCGGCAGTGTATTTCAGTCTTGTATAAAAATAAAGAAATCTTAAAAAAAAAGTATTTTGATGTCACTTTCTAAGATATAAAGTTGGAAATATGTTGACTAGCAGTATTTGCTCCTTTGGCAGTACATATAATTCTATCTTTTCTCTCCCTTTTGCACACTATTAATAATTGTCGAAGATACTCAAGTCATATTTTTGTTCAATTACTAGTTTTGGGATACAGTCACTCCATAGGTTTTGCTGTTATTTCAAAGTTTTCTTCCCCAGATATCTATGGTGCACTGGGAAGAAAGAAAACAGTTCATGAACATTATTTCCAGAGGGTCCTTGGACTCAACATCTTAAATATCAAAGTTATGGTGGCCAGTAAAGAATCACTTGTGCATTATTTTTCTGTTGTGTGTTCCATTTTTCCTCTTGATTTTTTTATGCTTAATAAATTTTGATTATATATCAGACATCATGTATGAAAAATTGTTAAGGCAAATAGTGTGAAGGCAGATCATCTCAATCAAAACAGAGACAGTGCTGGTACAAGACTAAATTATGTTTTTCATTCTATCTATCTCTGTTCTTGATTCACATCCTCCTCTAGTGTATGACTCTTGGGATTTCAAATAAGATCCTGTTTACGAGGGTCTCTTTAGAAAAATCCCAGTTTTGCTCTTCAGCATAGTGAGAATGCTGGAGACTATTCTGCTTTGCAAAAGCTTTCTGCTTACCTCTTTAACAATATGCCCTGTGAAGTTGATATATTTGGAAATGTATTTTGGGGAAAACTATAAGTTTAGGGCTCAGTTCTCCACATCTTCCTTCTTTCTGAGTTTTAGTCCCTCAAGTCCTAACTAAACTGCCTGCTCTAGGCTCTAATTTTTGTTTCTCCAGCCCTGGGAAATTGACTGAGACATTGCTGGCTGTTCTGAATCTTATCTGTGGACCCCATCTATATTATAAGGCTTTACATCATTGCCAAGTATTAATAGGTGCCACTGTGAGAAAAGCGCTTGCACAATGTCAGTGCCCATTCCTTGATTCGCTTCCATCTGGAATCTTACACCTGGTTGCCCAGCTTCTTTAAAGCCTTCAAACAGAAGATTTTTGTGTTTACTTAGTTTGTTCATTTACCCTAACAAGGAGATTTATTCTGCACAATGGTTATAATCATACCTGGACATGAAAGAGTTTCACCCCAGAAATGTAATATTTTGTTGATAACCCAAAGAAATACTTTTTTATTGTTCTCTACTCCTTAAAACTGAAAGTGCCTTTTGGGGGAAAACTGTCTCACATTAAACATTCTATCTTGTGGGATATAAAATATCTCTGAGGGAAAGGAAAATTTTGATCTCAAAAAGCATAACTTTTCATAAATAGGATAACAGTATCAGAATTTGAAAGTGTTTTGATACCTTTCTTGTTCTCAATTATTCTGTCTTTTTCCTTTCAATTATAAACAGTTAATTAACACAACTATTTCAATATCACTTCCTTCAATGGGGAAATAATAGTTTGTTAATAGTACTTTCATAATACCATTTTATGCGCACACTATCTTTTTCTCCAGGTCCTCTTTCTGTTTTCTGTATAGGGACTGATTCCTCAGTATTCATATGATGCATAAGTTAGTGACATAAAGAAGGCTGTGTAAATGAATTAGACCCTTATCATTGAGAAATGACTTAATATTTATGTCGTGTTAAGTTATTTCTTGAACAATAAGGCTATATAGGAAGTCCATTTAAACAACATATCCCAATAACTGTAACTATGTATTAACTTACATGAAAGAGTTAATATAAATTTTCCTGAGCAATATATGAATATTAAAAAAATTAGTTTTAAATGAGTGGGAAAAATTCCTTAAGTGTACTAGACATCTTGTTTAGTGTGGTACCTAATCATAGGATATAAATTAAAATGCTACAAATACTTGAACACAAACTATATAGAGAAAAGTGGCATTATAAGAACATGAATTAAGACAAATAGAAATGTGAAAATTCAGAATTTTTATATATCTTTGCAGTGTGCATTATTTCTTATTTAATTTTAATGATTCTCCACTGCTAGGGCAGAGAAGAAAATAATTACTGACAATGTCCTTAATCATTAATGTGTTAGGAACAGAAGAATACAATAAATATTTGCTTTATTCAATTGACTTAGTCATGTGAGGCTTTTCCAATTTGTGCTGTGCCATCTTTGAATAATTTCTCCTTTATACCCCAAGGTCTATTCAACTGGGGAAGTAGAGGCATTAACAAGAACTAATTAAAATTTTTGATTCATCATTGTTAAACATTTAGTAGTCCCTAAAAAAAATCTTTTTACACATCAAAAAATACTATACAAAGGTAAACCAATCTTTAAGACTTTCTTTCTGTAAATAGTTTGGCTTTACGTTGTATTCAAAAGAGATTAAATCTCTAAAAGCTTCATTTGTTCTAACTCCCAAAAATGTTACTAGACCTTGGGTCTACACTTTTCGGAGCTTCTGATCGTTATTAAGGCAATTTTCTTTTAAAAACTGTCTTTTGTGTTATCTAAATTGTATCCTGCATATACAGTTGACATTTCCAGGCTTTGATTCCTTTGGTCTTGGCTGACTACTCCCAAAATATTTTGCCAAAGATATATAATTTTAAAAACAAAAAGAAATAAATGAATTTATGATGCTCTTATCTAATTAGTACTTCATAATAAATTTCAATAAGAAATATTTCATATGAAAGTTTTATATGTGCAATTTCTAGGAGCATTTGGAGAGGCACATCCAATCTATCCACAGCTTGCAAAAAAACAAAATGAAACAAAAAACAAGAAAATCTTGGAAGTTAAGGTTGGGAATTGAAGGAAATATTTTATAATGTTAATTTCATTTATAAAACATTATAAAATACTATGGAAGTCAACATCATTTCTTTTCTAGTGGAAAAAATAATGGGTATTTTATTTACAAAGACCTTAACTGTCTACTCTTATTTATATAAGCCTAGTTTATCCAAATGAAAGGATAGTCCTAAGAATGCTCAAATCTCTAAGTTTAAACAAGTCTTAGTGATTTATCTTGCACAAATGAAAATCTTAGTAGTTTTATGTCAGAACAGAAGTTAAAACCAGCGGCATAAAACAAGATCAATTGTATTTGATTACTAAAAACAACTAAGGGTATTTTAAAAAGGATAGATCTTCTTAGTTTAATATGGCAGAAGAAAATGTTTCCTCCCCCTGCTTCTTCAATGCTTGCCAAAAGGCAAATAATGATAGAAGAAAATATTCCATGAGAGGAAAAAGAAAACTGTCATGACTTGAAGAAAAAATGTTTTAAGATCATTTGCCGAGTACTGTTCAAAATGAGGGATCAGAGACAATGCACAGTCTTATACTGCATAATGATGCGATGGGTCAATGACAGATGAAAAATATGATGGTGGTCCCTATATAAAAATGTGTAATAGGCCATAAACATCTAGGTTTGTCTAACTATACTCTATAAAATTCACATGACAACAAAATCATCTAAGGACACATTTCTCAGATGGTATCTCCTCCATTAAGTGACACGATTATATAGATTTCCCCAGTTAAGATGGCATACAAAATCCTCATGATTAATTCTAAGAGAGATCTAGGATTGTCTAGGAAGATGGAAAAATACCTCAGTGGAGATCCAGTTTGACAGGTCAGCATGGTAGATATAAGGAGCCTCCCTCATCCTTTCGCCCATGAGAGTCTGTGGACTCTTAATAGATTCTTCCAGGTCTTCCAGTTAACACCTGTTGCTTATCTCTTCCTGTGCTTATACTAGCAGCTATTAATTCAAAGACAAGTGATGTCATGCAACGAGATCATAGGCACATACCACTAGCACTGCACAGCCCAAATATAATACACAATGTATTAGGGTGAATTTGTACTAAGTGGAAAAATAGTGGGGTCCCACGCACTTTGGTTTTTGATGGACACAGATGGTCTATATGCATCAAAACCATAGTTCTGGAAGAGAGGACCCAGCTAAGGAAGCTTGCTCGATTTGCAACTGAGTACGTATAGCCTGTGCATGTCCTTCACACCATGTCACAGGCTATCCAGATGTAGGGACTATGAATATTCAAATTAATGTCTCTTAAGTTAGTGGTGGACAAATAGTCAAATAGCATATATTTCATACAGACATAGCCTCTGTGGGTCATATGCTTTCTGTTTTAACTGCTCTGCTCTGCTAGAGCAGTCTTTGGCAGCACACAAACAAATAAACATGACTGTGCTTCAGTAAAACTGTGGCACTGAAATTTGAATTCCATATAACTTTCATATTTCATGAATTATTCTTCTTTGGTTATTTTTCAACCACATAAAAATGTATAAACAATACTTAGCTCACATGCCATTCAAAAATAAGATGGATTTGGCCCTTGGGCTGTAGTGTTTGCTAATCTCTGCACTAAGCAACAAGAAATGTATCAAATGATGTCTAAACCCTGGAAAAATGCTAGGGAAAATGCATGCCAAAATACAAAATGTACAAACCAAGAGCCCTGGAAACAGTCTTACACGCCAGGAATGCTGACATGAGCTAAAAACCTTGGATCGCTGCAGTCCAGTTCAGCACAGTGAACCAGTTCTCAGTTAAGCTATAAAAGGGAGAAGACCTCAGGGCCATCCATATGTATCTCTCATCAAGTAATCACAAAAGCTCTAACCTAACAACCACACATTAAAGCATGTTTTTTATAAATGGAGCATTAAAGAAAAGTCTAATGAAGAAGGGAGATCATAAAATGAATTACTCAAAGTAGCACAGGTAGTCAGAAAAAAAAAAAACATAATAGATGGTATAATGACTTTAAATATAAAAATGTGAAAATGTTGCAAGTGTTCAGATACAGGAATATAAAAGACAAGTTTGAGCTTATAAAATCTTAGGAAAGAAATACAGTGAACAAAATACAAAGCTCACATAAAAATTAACATCATAGGGCCTCCCTGATGGCACAGGGGTTAAAGACAGTGCTATCAAGCTATCGCCAGCCACTGCAGCACAAGTTCGATCCCCGGCCAGGGAGATGGCCCACATGGCTCAGCAGACCTCTCATCTCGCCTACTGCTCCCCTCAGCAGTGTATTTCAGTAGATCTCCCTATTCTGCTCTCCACTTTCTCTGGTGAATCCTCTCACCCTCCCCACCCCCACCCACACCTCTGGCTTAACACCCCATTTTTGTATGCATAAATAAATCTTTTAAAAAAATTAACATCATAGAAAACTGTTAAAAGTGTAATGGTTGAGCAACAGTAAATCACATAAATAGTAGAAAGCAAAACCAAACATAAATATGAATATGGAGGAAATTATGGATACAGCAAAGGATATTGAGTATGCATATAATTTATGTTCCTATGAATAGAGCAAGTACTATGAAATGCAAGACACAGTTAAATTAAACTGCCTTAGAATATAACAGACTTGAAACCTACAAATTGAGTGTCACAGTGTTCCAGGAAAAAATGGATACAGATGTATTGCTATAAATACATGCATTCTGGTAAATTCCTAAGTCTTTAAGGATAAAGGAAGAATCTCATGGGCATTCATGAATGAATGAAAAAGCAAGTCACATTCAAAAGAGTGTCAAGTGGTTGTTATAGGTCTCCAAAGAAACATTCAGTTTCAGAAAAAAATGTAGAAATGCATATAAATTTCAAAGAAACAGTGCTACCCCAAATTTATACCTAGTGAAATTATCATTTGTATTTAAAATAAAACACAGAACTTCTCATTCTTGCATAATGAAATTTAGCCAAAGAAGAAATAATGAGGAAAATAGAAACTGTAGAAAAGCATGGTTAGTGACAGCTGAATCCATTTATGCCAACATAACTGAAGATTAAAGAACTAAAGTAATTAGAGTTATACAATCTAATGTAAATGTTATATTTCTTGAAAATGTAAAAATAATATAATTTAAAGTGGAAGCCAAAAGAGCAAATGTGGGAGGAAGTATGAGTGATACTTTCCTCATATTTCTTAGCAGGCAGTCAAATATTTTTCAACCTTGAAATATATATTGAATTCAAATATACTTTAAATAACTCTTTTTAAGACATGAAAGTACTCAAAATTTTATCTTCTTTGTACAGATTTCTCAGTAATTATTATTGGACATTACTGCTCCGTGAGAAGGTAAAAATAAATAATGAAATAGGAAACCATATCAGGAAACAAGATGTTATGGATAACTGTCCTACTTGATCATTCAATCCTTCAAAACTCCAACAATATGATAAATTTCCATATTATGAGTCCCATCTCTCCAGCGATACATTCCAAAACACTTAACTCTCTAACCACCTTGCAGCTAGAGCTCAAGAACATTGCCCAGGACTTACAAGACAGAAGAATTCCTGTGAGTCTTTGATACTAAAGCAAGAAATGTAACAAATCTGGCTATTCTGTTTTGTTGTTGCTGTTTGTTCCCTTTGTTGTTTTCCTCTAACACATATCAAGATGTGCCCAGATTTTAATTAATACTTGCTGTGAAGTAAGGTTTCTAGCATTTTAGATGTGAACAGTAGAAGTGGTGGTAGTGACTTCTTAATCAAGAGGATCTGTGATATGGTTCTGTATATAATTCACTGAATATTAGACGTGAACCTGGTTCTCCAGATTTCCTAACTATTCTGTAAGAGAGTGTGTGTGTATACTTACATATAGAAGACCCTAAATGTTGTTATTAACTTAAAAGCTATCTTTATGAGGTATGTATTGCATGTGTGTGTATTATTCAAAAGTGTGTGCATACACACACACACATACACATACACAAGCTTCAGTAATTCTTTTGTTTCATCTCAGTTTGCATTCTTCAATTAAAATTAAAAAAAATTGAGTTTAAAACTATTCATTTTCTATTCTTTTAGACTGCCATGCATTAACAAAGGATACTAGGCTGATATCCACCAAAACTTATTGTAGAGTGATGGGTTGTGAGATTTGTAGTAAATTTTTGTTTTAATTCTGTAACTTTTCATTTTGCTTCACTTTTTTTCTTTTTAACTATGACTGGTACTTTTTATAAATGCCATAAAATAATTATAGTAAAAATTGGTATAAATGAACAATTACATTTAAAATGTTTATTGCACATTTAAGAAATATTGCCCCCTATGTAGGCAATTCACTATATATAAGTGTACATTTGTGGGTGCATGAGTGTGTTTGTGTGTGTTATTTAAAAATCATTGGGAACTAGTCCACTACTTGACAATTTTTTTTCTGTTTTTTCTTCTCTATTCATAGCTCATTTACATCTCAGTAGAAACTGGGAAATGTAGAAGTCAGAATTTCATATCATTATCCCTCATCATAACAAAAATTAAACGCTGTGTATACATATGGGGTTTTTTTGTATGACATATATGGCATTTCAGAAAGAAATCAAGACCATTCATTGTCCTATTGTGCCAAAACTTTCCTATTCATAAAGGAACCAGAAATAAGAAAGGAAATACATACATTTACTTTCTTTTCTGATCTAAAAAGTGATGAACATCTATACAAAGTGCAATGCTAAGTGCTCCATACCCAGGAATAACCTGAGAAATTATGCTCTACATAATTATGCAAATAGATGTTTTAAGAAAAAGAAAAAAGCAAAAATGGCAATATGCTAATATGGCAGCAATATTGAACATGATGAGGATTATTAGAAAATGAAGTATTTGTTCATGCCCAGAGCTTTTTTCACTTAATATTTTTTCATGGCACACATACCACCAAAGAAAACATTCAAGAAAGAAAGCCCTCACGTCCTAATTATGATAATTATATTTTTCATCTTAAAATCCTTTATACACCCTTAGAATAAATATTATATGTAGTATGTAGTATCATAATTAAAGTAAATGTTCAAAGAAATGAGGCTTTGATTGCTATTTGCCACATAGTCTATCAAAATGGACCAGAACTGCATAGTATATATATAAGTCTATTTATTATTATTATTATTATTATTATTATTATTATTATCTCAGTAGCTTTGGCTAATCTTAATTAAATATCTGCATTAAATGATTTTATCCCATTGTATGCAATACAGTGGAAATATATAACAAAAATTAATATTGGAAGCAGTGAATAATTTAAACTACTTGCTACAGAAATTTTTAAAAGAAATCTTTCAAACAGAGATAAGCTTTGTAAAAGAACATCAGAGATTAGCAATAGCTTCAAGTTCTTTGCTCAGCCATGTGAATGTAGTGTTTAATTATGGATCAAGTTCAGTCTTTAGCTCCTTGACCACTGTGGATTATTCTTTCCATTTTCTTCTATGAGATCATGCTGAGTTGGGTGATACATAGATTAAAAAACTTGATACTATTCATCAGCTTATATTCTCTACAGAATATCAAAAATGTGTAAGAGGTGTGGGGGGGGCATACAGAGAAACCTTTAGAAGGCTTTGATTTTGAGTAAAAAGAGAAATTCAATTCTTACCATTATAAAACAAAATACAATTCACTCCAAGGAAAAGATTTAAGAATCAAAGATAATGTTCTTTTTGTGGGGTTAAATCTATGAATAAAAAGTGACCAAAATACAAAAAATGAAATTGTCCTTTTGCTTCTGACATTCATAGTTCAAAGAATAGCATCATATGGTATCTGTATAATGGTAACTATGGGACAAAATTAATTGCTATCCCTTTGAAAAAGAGAGCAGTAAAGAATAAGACAATCGGGAAACAATTTTTATATTTTTGTCTTTTCCAGAATGTCATAGCTAATATAAATGTTTGGCCCTGTACATATGTGTGACTTTCTAGATCCTCAGGAATTTGAGCTTTTTAAAGTCCCGAAGGATAAATCTTCCTTTAAAGATTTTTGACCAGCCTCTTGTTTCCCCAACTGGTATTGCTACCTCAGGTCACTGCCATGTTGAAAACTTCAAAGTTAAACAACTGTTCCTTATTATTTTCAACAAACACCCTATGGATAGGACCTTCCCCACTGAGTGAATTCTAAGTCAGGTCAAATAAAGACAAATCCTTTAAATTGAACTTTCACAGAGAACTGACATACAAGTCAAAGAGTGACAACCCTTTAGTGATATGATTTTATGGGAACTCTCAACCCTTTAGGGATATAGATTTTATGGGAACGCCCAACCAATTTTTTTTCTTGTCTACAATGGCTGCCAGCCTCCAGTTTTCACAGCTATCATAGATATGAAGCTAGTAATTTTCAAAATTTTCCTCAATCTGGGAAGAAGGGGAAGAATATGATGCAAGTCCATACATCATTACCTGCTGTTAACAAGATTCAACCATTTTTCTTGAATAAATGTCACTTGATTGTTATAAAATTTTGGTTCCTTTGAAGAGTTCAGAAAAATGTTGATTTTGACTATTTTGCACTGTTCTTGGTGCTTTCATGGAGGAAAGAATTTTCTGAAGTTCTTTATCTGACATTTGGAAATGCATCCCCACAACTGATTGCTCCAGCTAAGTGAAGGACTTATCACCCAAAACCTAATTTTAACTCAGGTTTTCATGGTTACTAAAATGCTATAGAGAACCCCAAGCAGAAAAAATAACAAAAGAATCCCCCTGATGCATCAGATTCAATCAGTTGAAAATCAAAGACAGAGAAAGTTATAAAAGAAGTCACAGAGAAAAAAGAGTCCTTACATACAAAAGAACAGTGTTTTTCATCAGAAACTATACAAGCCAGAAGACAATAGAGAGACACACTTAAAGCAGGGGGATAAAATAAAAAACCATTCCAGTATTCTATTCCCAGTGAAAATACCTGTGAAAACAAAGGTATAGAAAAACCCTTTTATGGCACATAAAAAAAGAGAAAATTCATTTTTAGGAGGACTGTCAAATATCTATCACCTATGAAATTTTGTTTTGTTTTTCATGAAATCTTTTTTAAGTCAAGCTCTATTTTGAGGTCAATTCACATATAGTCGTAAGAAATAACAGAGAGGTCCACTGTACCCTTAGCAACTCTCTTCTAGTGGTAACAACTTGCCAAACTCTACTACATTTGAGATAAAGACACTGATACAGTTTACATTAAAAAATCCATCTTCAAAAGTATTACTTATAGTTTCACTTAGTAGCCATGCCCATCTCCTCTCACCATTCCAAACTCTGACAACAATTTCCCATTTCTATCAATTTGCCATTTTAAGAATGTTATATAAATAGAAACAATATACCTTTCAAGATTAGGTGTTTTTTCATTGACAAAATTATCTCAAAAGTCATTCAATTTGTTTCATGCATCAATAAAAATAATACTTTTTTATTACTGGGTAATATTCCAAGCTGTAGATGTAGTACTGTTAATTTAACCTGTCACCTACTGAAATGCACCTGAGTTATTTCTAGTTGTGACTATTTTAAATGAAGCAGCCATGAATATTAGTGTACAGGTTTTGATTTGATCATAGATTTCATTTCTCTTTGACATATGTCCAAGAGATCTTCCTGCCTCATTCTGACAAGTAATAATATTCAAATAATCCAGTATAATCACCTCACCTCAAGATCCTTTAAGGGTCTTGTGCAAAGTCCTTTTTGCCATATAAGGTAACATAGTTACAGATTCTGGGTATTAGGACATTTGGGGTGAGTAATTATTCAGCCACCCTACCATTTTTCAGCGTTCTCTTGTTTATTATGTTGTTTCCAGGGAATGTAGTTGCACTTAGTGGAGGGAAACAGGAAGACATAGGTGTTAAGGATTAATGTTTGTGGCCTTCCCAAATTCATATGTTGAAACCCTAACCTCCAATATACTGATATTAGGAAGTAGGGTACTTTGGGGATGATTACATCATGAAGGCAGAGTCCTCATACACGGGATTAGTGCCCTTATAAAACTAGAATCCCCCTGCCTCTTTCTCTTTGTCGGGACTCAGTGAGAAGATGCTTTCTGCAACCTGGAAGAGGGCTCTCAAGGGACGTGGACTGTGATGGCACCATGATCCCAAATTTGCAGCCACCACAACTGTGAGAAATAAATGTTTGTTATTTACAAACCATCCAATCAATCTATGGTAGTTTATTACAATAGCCCAGATTGAAGAAGACAATGATTATATATCTATGCAATCTGGCTTGAATATAACTTTGTGTTATATTCCAATTTTATAAGTATCTTTTTGTTTATTTTTTTAAAGATTTATTTATTTATATAAGCACTGGGGTATAGGACAGAAGTGCAGGAGGGTGAGAGGATTCACCAGAGACAGAGCAGGGAGCAGAACAGGCAGAAGGACCAAAATACACTGCTGAGGGGAACAGCAGGCGGACAGGAGAGATCTGCCACGCCATGTGGGAATCTCCCTGGCTGGCGGGGAATCCAACCAGCACTGCAGAGGCTGCAGACAGCTTCACAGCGCTGTGCTCAACCCACTGAGCCACCAGGGAGGCCCACCTTTTTGTTTATTTTTAAAATTCAAATCATTGATCAACATGTTGAACAATACAAGGCCAAAGACAAAATCTAATTCCACTTCGTCCATATTAGAATATGCTTGGGAATTATGAATGCATTTGTTTATATCATCACATGTTAACCCTTCTCCATCTTTTCTCTAAGCACAAAAATATTTTTTA